ATCTTGACTAGCTTTGTATGTATACATATGTTCGAGGTTGCAGAACCAAAGAGCTTCAGTGATACTCTCGATGTTATGCATTCTAGATTGGGTATCAGAATGTTGGCAAATCTTGCAGGTGACAAGAGTTTCTTGGCCTTCACCTTTAGTATAGAAATGGATACTTCTAGGGTCATTTTGATCCAAATCATGGTGGAAGTCAATGTAGCATACTCGGCATACTAATTGGTTATCGAGGACTTTGAGGCATTCTGATCTTTCGGGGTTCTTGCATCGGCAGCAATGATAGGTCCATTTGTTGCTGTGGTAGTAAGCTTTCTGGTAGCTACTTCATTAGGGTCGCAACCACACTGGTATGTCTTGTTCTGTCTTTATAGAGAACCATAGGGGCAATCTACAGCAATATGTCTGAAGTCATCACATTTGTGATATTTATTATTAGCGCAGCTTCGGTAGAGATGGTTCTGTCCACAGTTTCGGCAAGAGGTTCGTCGTGAAGCTTGTAAAGGGCAATGTACTGCAATATGTCCATTTTCTTTGCAACGGTTACAGCAGTTGGTAGGACATTCAGCAAAGAGATGAGCAGGTGAACCACAATTTCTACATACTCAAGAGAGAGTTTGGGTACGACAGCGAGGTTGATAAATAGTCCAGTCATTATGGTCATTGTCTGTGTCTAGGTCGAGATTGATACCAAATGCATAAGCTTCTTTAGGAGTTAGATATTCCTGGTCATAGAGTTCTAACTCTTCTAGGTTAGTTATGATAGGTTGGGCAGGTAGTGGTTGATCATTTTCATAGATAGTAGGAATATGATACTTGCGATTCTTCTACTTAAAGAAGTAACAGCCATTCTTCCAGTTGTAACTGGCTTCAACTTTCTTAGACCAATCATTTCCAAGAAGTAAGGTATAAAAAGTAGCAGCAACTATTTCAACAGTAATAGGGATGGTTGCTTCTTCGATCTGAATAGACAGATCTCGAATAATTCCTAGAGGTCGAGAGGAAGTTCCAGTGGCAGAGATGATAAGGCTAGTTGAGGCTTGTTCGATTTTAAGTCCTAATTCTTGAACCACTTTATGAGCAATCATACTAATAGATGCTCCGCTATCTACAATAGCTTGGTACGGTCTGTTTCTAATTTTGATGTTGCATTTGACAGGAGTAGTGGTTGGCTCAGGAGTGATGGCAAGGGATTTCACTTTCTGACTTAGGTGGGCAGAAAGAGCACTTCAGATAAAGTGGTTATCTAGTAGGGTTTCCCATTTCTTTTGGCTCATGGGTGCTGAAGATTTAGAGTTTTGGTTGATATAGTTGACATTACGGTGGTTAGAAGAAGGTGAGCGATTAGAGGATCGTCTAAAGTTGTCAGCATAGAAGTAGTAGCTATCTCATTCTCGAGAATAATCTCGATATCGGGGATAATTGTCATGGCTTCTGGATCTATTTCTATCTCTAGATCTACTTCGGTCAAAAGATCTGGAGTAATTTCTGTCTCGGCTTCTAGATTGATCATTTCTTTGATTACTGTAACGATCTCGGCTTCTGTCTCGTGATCATGATTAATCCTTCTGTTTAGTATGGTATTGGGCAACGAAATGTCCAGTGTGTCCACAATAATGGCAGGTAGGTGGTTGTCTGATTCTATTTGCAGTTGTAGGGTTTTTGGCATAGTGTACAGAAGTAGATGCAGGTTTCTGTTGAGCGAGGTTAATGCTAAGTTGAGCTGTATCTGTGGTAGGTGAGGAAATAAGTTGGCCATTTTTCCAATTACGAGCAGCATCGATGGTAGCAGTTAAGTTAGCAGGTCCTCTAGCTTGAACTCCAATAGCATATTCAGATCAAAGTCCTTGAATAAAAAGTTGAAGGATGAAATCATCAAAAAAAGCATCTTCTGGATCTACACAGGCTTGTAATTTCTTGAATCGGGTTACATAAGCATCAACTGAGTCTGTTCCTTGCTTGATGTTAAAGAATTGTTTTTGCCATTTAATCTTTTGGTTGGTAAAGCTGAACTTAGTTTTGAAGAAGTGGTAGAAGCTTCGGTCTACATCATGTCCATTCTTGAAAGCATTAGGTACTAGGTTAAGACCTTAGAACCATTCAGCAGCAATCTCTTTCATATAGGTGGGGGCAAGAGCAAGTTGTCGAGCAGCACTCCAGTTATTAGCAATAGCAGCTCGTTCGAATTCTTCTAACCATTCTACAGGGTCTTGTTTTCTATTGCCAGTGAAGAAATTAATCCTAAGGAGAGACTTTTCACCACCTGGCGCAAGAGCATTGGCCATGTCAGTCATAGCTTGAGCAGCAATGTTGAGGGCAGCTTCAACTATGTTTACAAGTGGTACTACAGGTGGAGGTATTATAGGTGGTTGTGGTGGTGGTAAGTTAACTTCGGGTCATTCTGGGGAGGTAATAGGTTTTCTTCAAGTTGCTCTGGTGGTAGTAGATTTGCTTCAGGTAAAGGTAAGTATTGTTGAGTTGTTCTTGGTGGTTTTCTGGTAATTCAAAGGTTTCAGTTGGAGTAAAAATTTCTTGAACAGTACTATCAGAGTTGGAATTATTTTCTTGATCTGGATGTCCTGGAGGTGAAGCCTCTTCTCTTTCTAAGGGATGTTCTTCTATATGTGCTTCTGGGAGAGGAACAAGGTCTACTTCAATAAATTGTCCTTGAGGTACTTCAAATATATTTCGAGAAGAATGTTGAAGAGGTTGATAGTGAGAATTATCTGTTTCGTCTTGGTAAGAGGTAAACTAGGAGGAGATGGGGTTCTTAGGATAACTCATTGATCTCAGTAACTAAAACTATAATCTTCATCTGGTTGATGTTGTATGGAGGGTTCTAGATTTCCAAAGTATCTTTTATATTATCCTGAGTCTTCGTATCCAAAACTATAAGCTAAGTCAATATAGTGGTCAAAGACGTTTTGGTATTCGAAGTCGATAGTAGGTAAGGCAGTAAGGTGTATATATTTAGTAAGTAATGCAAGAGCAATTTCTCTTGGGTCTCCAATATTTTGATTGTATCGGTAACTAAAAATAATGTCTCGAATAGAGATGTGAATAGAGGGTCAGTCTCAGGTTACAGTTAAATGTCCAAAATTTGCAGTAGTTCAGGAGATATAAGAATAAGCAGAATAGGTGTTGGAATACCAATTCCAAAATCTTTCAAAATTACTTCGATGGAAAGTGCGAGAACTGGCTCTTGGTGGTGAGAAGCAAGCTTGGCAAGAGAGATCTGGGTTTAAGGCTTGTAAAGTTGTATAATGAAGAGCAGGGTTTTGGGTATATTCGTGTTTATGGTTTTCAATATATTCGCTATAGAATTGAGTAACTCTATCAATCATAGAGTAAAGTTCAAAGCCTATATCTGGCTAAAATAGAGAAGATAATAATAGTAATGTTTCTTGGGGTTGGATTCTTACGCCTACACTTTGGCTCATAGGGAATCCTTCAATGTTTTCAAGGTTGGATCCTTACGCCTATACTTTGGCTCGTGGAGAATCTGTCAATGTCTTAGGATAATATCATATAGGCACTAGCTAGAATAAACCAAGGTGGGGTTGTCATCCGCAATACTCAAATTCAATTCAGGATAACTATCCTCCGGTAAACAGCTATTAATTAAGAGGGCCAGAATAATGTCGTTTGGTGAGGGTTTTAAAATATTTTCCGCCAGGAGGCACCAAATATTACAGTACCGTAGCCTTCTTAACAACAATACTATAACAATAACACAGCTACAGAGATCCTTTACAGATTTATAGCGGTATTCAACAGGTAAGTATAATTTCTGCTTCTTGAAAAAACTATACCCTTCTGTCTATAGCAGTTCAGGCAGACAATAGTTTATAGATAAAATATATGTTTATTAAAGATAAATAAGATAGACTATCCTTAGATTTTTATTCCTAAAGAATCCTATTTTACAAAAGAGAATTTAGGGAAGAGAGAAGTAGGGTGGACAATAACAAGTCTGTTGTTATATCAGGTCTAATGTTAACTTAGAAATTTACAGCCTTTTTATATCTTTAGAGTTAATCACTAATCATTGCAGCTAAGCGTAATTTACTTAGTGCTAAGTGCTAATTGTAATCGCTAATCGTTAAGTATTAATCGTTAATTGCTAATCATTAAGCGTAATCGCTAATCACTAAGCGTAATCGCTAATTGTTAATCGCTAAGCGTAATTGCTAATCGCTAAGCATAATCGCTAATCATAAATTGCTAAGTATAATCGCTAATTTTAAATTGCTAAGTGTTAAATGTTAATATTAATCATTATACATGTCTTTTAAATTCTTCTCTATGATAAATGTAATAATAACTAATAACTAATAAAATACAAATATCAAAATAATAAAATAATACTAAGATAATATAATAAACTAATATAGTAAAATAAAACTGTTCTATAATAGCATCATTATTCGCAAAATAGTATCTGTTACAGATGATATTTTTAACCATTTCAATAAAGTATTCGGATTTTTATCTAATACTAGAAATACGTCTATAAGTCTATAAATTTTTATACCGTATAGACCTGTAAGATATAGAACGTAAAAAAAATGTATTCGCTATTAAACCGAATTTACTTTATATACATTATAATATCTGTGATCGAGGCTTTTTTGGTATGTCCCGTCAAGGTTGCCCAAAGCATGTCCAAACTTCAATAATCCATGAATTGTATAAAAATACACGGTTATATAGATATATATTTATTTATTTAATTCTGAACGCTTTTATTTAGAAAATTAAAATAGGTTATCTTAATAAAAGTGTAATTTTTAATCATTATTGTGAAGTTTCTCGCATATTGTGATTTGATTGGTTAACTTTCACGTGTAGATTTACGGAATTTAACCAATTAGACAAATGAAGTTATAATTCATATAATTTGTCATACCGGTGATCGTAAACAATCTTTTTCTTCTTATTTACAAAAAAAATGTCAAGATTTATAGCCGTGATATCCGGCTTAATTGCTTCTGGAGCTTTATTATATCACTTTAGAAATGAAATTGAGGACAATACATCGCAAATTCGTTCAAAATTACATAATACCAGAAACCAGCTTGAAGATTCTTTACCCAGCAACCTAAAAGACAGTTCGGTATGTCAAATTTTTAAGCATGTCAAATTATATATAGACAATGGATGTAATTATTAATTTAATCAATTTAATTAATCGTACAAATTATATATTTAGGTTGCTGATCAAAATCATTTGATTCACCCATCTAAACGACCAAATGTTCGTCCACAATTACCAATTCCTTCACTTACTCAAACACAAAATTATATCAATCATCGTTTCATTCCAACATTTAAATCAACATGGAATGGTCAAGTTACAAATCTTGCCAATAAACTTACTAGTTTTGATGCAAGTGAATCGGCTAAAAATGTAAAGTCTTTTGTTGAAGATAAGTGGAATAATAAAAAATAACTTTTTTTTAATAATATAAACTATTCGTATATAATTAGCTTATAGAAAATAGGTTTCAACCTTCTACACCATTCTGGATAATCTTGATGCGTTAAAATATTAGATAATAAATATCTGTGTCTTAATTAGTGAACTTTAAAAAAATCAAAGTGCTTTTAATATTTTATAATGTTATATAAGTGATTTATTAATGTAAATAAAAATTATGGTTGCTGATGCTGAAATTTTATTACAAAATTGTAAAATTTGGGGGCCTTTTTTGTAGTCTTTTTTTTCATAATTAGGTTAGAATTTAGGGTTAGTTATTTATAAAAGAGTATATGTAAATTCTAATAGGTGTTATAGATTTAAATAGAAATCTTCAGTTTCAGCATCATAAGCTGCCACAAAAATTACTACAACAAACATTTGATGATTAATCTCATCATTCTTGGTAAATTTTATGGAAAAGGTGAATTAAATCAATTTATATTTTTTTGACTAAACTTCTCAACATATTCAACCATTCACTTTTAACAGAGTTAATACTTGTTTTTAGAATATGCAGAAAAATCTGCTATTTATAAACTTTAATACTGTGGCATCAATAAGAAGTTCATTAGTATAGAAACTAGTCTATGCAATTAGTTATCATTAAGAATACGTATAGTGCATAATAGTAGAACGAATAAATATCACCTTTTACTGAGTCTAGATAATTTAATAAGGTGATCCATATGCATCTACAGTATAATAATATTTCTAATGTTGAATTTGTATTTCTAATTTAATTGTATGAAATAATATTTCTTGATCTAGAAATTTCAATAAATAATACAGCAATATATTTGACAATTATTACAATAATAATTGTTATTGTATTGCTATTGTATTATTATTGTTTTCTAACATCACGTTAATTCTATGCAATATAAAAGAATGATGGTTATCAACCAACAGTAAAGACTGAATGGAAATAAATTAGATATTTATCCAGCAACAAGAAAACTGCATTATAATCGGTTTATATTCAGTGATGATATTATTGTAGTAATGGTAGGGTAGATTTAGTTAGAAACTGCAAATGGATGTGTCGAAAGTTCATTTGCTGTTGGTCGATCATTATGATTCCTATTAAAATTAAAAATAAACACCTCATTATATATAATGATGAATTAAATATTGAATGTCTATTAAATAACATACGGTTCAAATGTTTTTTTCAAGAAATCTTTTGCTTCATCAGATATATTTTCCGGAATTTCTGGTGCACATGATTGCGTACCAATCTATATTTATCAAGGTTAGTTATAAATTTTATCATAAATTTGTAATATGTTATAGAATCTAATAATAAATAAATTAACCTTGAACATTGCTTGCATTTGATTAAACTCCGGGAAGGGATGATTTCTTGTAAACATTTCAACAATTAGACACCCTAAACTCCATATATCAGCTTTACTTGTATAAGCTGTTTGTTTTATAACTTCTGGTGCCATCCAAAAAATAGATCCTTGCAACGATGGTCGATGCACTGATATTGATGCCCTGATCTCTGTTATAAGAATTAGATAATGTAAATTTGAAACTTGAAAATTATCCAAAATCGAAATCATCAAGTTTTCACTTACGGTCTTCTACTTTTTTGGATATTCCAAAATCTGATATTTTTATTCTTCCTTTGTTATCCACTTTTGTCAATTTGTTACAATATAATTTTAGCAGATTTTTAATTCAAAGAATTTTATAATTTATAATCTTTTAAAGAATTTACCTAAAACATTAGCCCCTTTAATATCACGATGTATGATGTCTTTTCCATGCAAATACTCTAACCCTTGTAAAATTTGTCGGACAAATGACCTAACTAAAGGCTCTTCCAATGCGCCATAGTTATTAAGTATTGTTGTAACAGATCCACCGGGTACATATTCCAAGAAAATATTTAATGTTTCATCATCACGTTGACAACCTGACAAAATAAAAAAACGTAATTGGTTTGTTTTCGCAATTTATTAAAAAAAAAAAAAAATTTGTTTAAAAACGTACCAAGATATTGAACGATATTTTCATGTTGCAGTTCTTTCAAAAGAGCAATTTCTCTTTGTAAAGCATCCACCTATGCGAAATAATTCATTAACATAATAAATGTATGCAACAATCGTATAAATATAATCAAGTTTTTATGCTAACCATAGATTTTTTACGCTCTTCATTTGCAGAATTTCCAGTAGGCAACTCCACTTGCTTAACTGCCATCAATTCCCCGGTAGCTGAATTAAGTCCAAGATATACGCTACCAAAAGAGCCCTTACCTATTAAATCACCTTTCATCCACCTAATATTTGAATTCTCTATACAAGTTGTATATTATTTTATGATTAAGCGTTTAATAATGTGTAAATCCTGTATAAATTTTTAAAAAAAGTCGGTCACATATATATATTTATTATTTACCATCTTCTTCTTCCTCCTCCTCCTCTTCTTCTTCCTCCTCAAGAATTAGATCTTCAGAATTTTCTTGCTCAAAAGAGTCGTCTTTCCATGGATCTTCTTCTGGGATAGCTGTTTCAAAATGCTCTAAGCCCAATGGAGAAGCCAATATTGTGCTCAGTCTATTATTGGGATCTTCGAATGTTCTAGATATACGTCTAGATCTTGTCCTTGAAGTTCTAGAAGCAGAAGACATCCTTCTTGAGGCTCTTATCATAGATCTTCTGGCACTACGTTCAAGATCTTCAGTAGCATGACCAGGGAAATAGTCTGTCAAATTTGATGAAATTAATTCAGATGGTGGACGTTGACCAAAGAAATTTCTTAATTTCCTATGTGATATTCCAGCTATTCCGGTTGGCTGTGCGCGTGGTGGTTGTTCACCAAAGAAATTTTCTAATTTTTTAGATCTCAGTTGTTCCTTTTTTTGCTCATGGCTCATTGGCAAATGTTTCTTTCGTAGGGTAAGTCTTTCACGCTCTGGTCTAGTGACGCATGTACAAATATCGACTATCTCCTCATCAGACAAACTTCGAGCTAATATAACAAATTAGTTGCATTATTGAATTAAATCACTACTCAAATTAAAATATGCAACAAAAATATAAACAAATAAAAAAAAAGAAACAACTCACGTGCACCATCGCTTAACGTAGCAAATAATGAATATTTTTCAGCATCCTCATTAATATTAAACTTTTGTAAAATACGAGCCAAAATAGATTTGGCGTCAGTGATGCTGTTTATAGGAATAGTCCGTGTTTGACCTTCTTCACCATAAACTTTAATACATTTCTGCAATAACAAACAGTAATTTAGATGATAATATATATGTAAAACTAAGGAAATATTCTAGCAATTACCTGCATGACGCTTTCAAGGGACATAGGAAACTCCACAGATTTTTGCTAATAATATAAAATAAGAATATGAAAATTATTATGAATTTTATTGTAATTACATTCTTCTACCAGATATTGAAATAAAAAAATTTTATATGAACTTTAACATGTGTGGGTGACTTATTATAATCCTTATTTCCGCGGTTCGTAGAATTCGATCTCATGACCATTCGTGGATTTGAATTTGATCTTACAAGCACACGTGAATTCGAATTAGATCTTGAAAGTGTACTTTTGATCTTTTCGTTTTCGGAAGAATTTGTATCCTAAATGATAATGATAATAAATAAATTTATTGATTACAATGATATATATACACACACATTGAAGGGTTTATAAAATTGAATATTACTAACTTTAGGATATTTAACTGTAGAATAATTGTTTCCGGCACAAATTTTTAACAAATTTCTTACTGCAGCTATGAGCCTAATACGATCGCCGATCGATCTAATTTTTAGTTCTTTAAGAACTTCATGATCTAACTCTAAGAGTACATCACCATTAATGTCATTCTCTAATATAAAACATAGATATAATTAATACTTTTTGCCTTGAAGTACAATTTACAATTAAATGTAATAAATTTTGGTATTTTAACAAATTAATACCGGCAAAAAGCTTTTGATGCTCTTTAAAATTGTTTTCTTGTAACCAAATTGAAACTTGTTCAATGCTCCAACGCCTAACACTTTCAAAGGTGATACCGTCAATGACTTTGGCCAAAGACGCAAGCTCAACAGCGCCATTTGAACTTTGAAAAATTTGCGCCATATAACTTAAATACAAAAGAATGTGATATCCTTTCGAGGATGGTAATTTGAATTTAGAGTGTTAAAAGTTTAAGTTAATTGCTTTTGTAAATGTATGATGCATGATTATATTATTGTGTGAGGCGTTATATGCAATATGTAGATCAATATATTGAATTACCATAAAAAGGGGGACGTCTAAAGCGGAGGCAACTCATATTTAATAATTTTTTCGATTAACTTTAGGGTTAGGGTCTTCTATAT